ATTAAGGAACTATTGTTCATTTTGTTAGGTGTGATAGCGCCATGGTGCTTATGTAAAAATCCTTAGCAGTTAGATTCATATTGAAGTATCAGGTCAGGCCATAAAATATTGCCAATATTTGTCCACTTTTGACCTGTAAAAACAGCAATCCCCTATGGCTCAAATACGGACAAAATGGGCACTTGTCTGGCACTTTCCTTACAGGACTAGAGCACAAGTCATGGGTAGAGTGCAGGGGCTAAGCAAAATAATATGATATCTGGGACTTTCTTTTAAAATATTTCTGAGAAAAAAAAGGGTGGCAGTATAGACAGATGAAACAAGATTGTCAGAATGTTAATGATTGTGAGGGTGGGAAATGAGAATGTGGGATTTCATCATGCCATTTTATTTTTGTGTTTGTTTGAAACTTTCCATAATAAAATTATTTTAAAGTTTTCTCTGACACTTTTTTTTTTTTTTTTTTTACTGTGTGATAGTATCTATGACTACAAAAGAAACCCAATTACATCTTGCTTAAATAAAGGAGGGATTTAATTGGGCTGTGAGACTGACTGGAGGGCGAGGTGGAGCTGGTCTCAAGCAGACTGGATTCGCCGCCTGAACGCTGTCAGGATCCTCTCTCTCTTCTATTTCTTCTCTGTTCCTTCTGGTGCATTGACTTCCTTGGCTGATACAAACTTGTCTGGGTGGAAGGGGAGAGAGCTGTCCACAACTAGTAGGCCTGTATCCTTGGGTTCTGTGATCGTGAAGAACAAGAGGTTCTTATTCCCCAGAATTTGAAAAGTCTCAGGAACTCTAATCAGCCTAGTTTATGTCATATGTCCATTCCTTAGACCAATCACTGTGGCTGTGGCCGTGAGGGCCTGTAATTGGCCCACCATGGGTCACTTGATCACCTCTTTAGCCAGGAAGGCTGTTTTCTGAAGAGTCAGAGAGGGGGACGGGCTGAGCAGATGGAAACAATAGCCAACCTTATAAGATTTCTGGTTATTTGCACTATCAAATTACAAATAGTCTTTGATTATAGATCATATCTTTTTCCTTCCCAGTTGTTTCTTCGTTTTCTAGTTTTTATTCTAAAGTTGATAGAGCTGGTGGCAAGGCTTGTTTCAAAAAATAAAAAACAAGTAGTTTCCATCTCTTACCCCATTTTCCTTCCTTGGTGGCAACTAGTTTCAACTCTCAGAACTGGTTCTTTGGGTTTTACTTCTACGTATCTAAATGATATCCTCATATTGCTACACTTGATTTTTCTGTTTTAGACATTAGACATTGATTCTCGCCATGGGAGATCATTTTGGTGTCTTTCACACATACCCACACTCTCCACCCTACATGTTATGTTCATCCTCTCTCTCCCCTCAAGTTCCCAGTGAATTGTATCAGAATCATGTTGATTAGGTCAATATTTAACACGTACATGTTAGATTTTGCATAATTAACATTACATGATTATGACTATGTAAACTCTCTCTCTTAGTGAGTACAGATGTACGACCTCTTGTTCTCTTTTGAGTTCATAAGGTTTTCTCATAGACATTCAGTCCCTAATTCTCCAGTGGTCTAATTTGCCTCTAAAAAGGTACATTCAGATGTATGAGATATTCTATATACTCAAAAAATCTCTAAAGCTTTCTGACTCACTCCGATTGGACTGGTTGCTACCCCTGTTGGTACCCTGCTCTTATCCTGGGGAGTCCCTTCACCATCACCCTGGGGATCCTCTTCCCTTCTTTCCATGTTGGATTCCTTATTTCCTACAGAAGTGGTCTTCCCCAAAACTAGAGTATCTGTAAAATTGGATTAATAATAACCCTGAATAAAAAATAATTAGTAGCCATTAAGACTAAATTAAATCATGAGTAAAATTATTATAATGAAACTTACCCATTCCATGTAGCTATTTAAAACAGAATAATTGAAAATACTCTAAAGAATGGGAACTAATTTCCCTTAGGCAGATACATTTGCTGAGTTTTTTTAGTCTTTTTTTTTTTTTTGAGTATCTACCCACAGTTGAAGTAAAAACTTGGAAGTA